AGAGAAAGAACAGTCAAATTCTAGCTAAGCCAATGCCCTGTTATACTCAGGGCTTACACCAACATCTTGGAAAAAATGACAGTAATAATCTGTGTGTCTGTGTAGTTCAGGTCACTCTTCCTCCCTGGAGAGAAAGAACAGTCAAATTCTAGCTAAGCCAATGCCCTGTTATACTCAGGGCTTACACCAGCATCTTGGAAAAAATGACAGTAATAATCTGTGTGTCTGTGTAGTTCAGGTCACTCTTCCTCCCTATTTTAACCCGTCATTCATCCTCTTCTCCGCCCTGGTGACCTCCGTGTCCTGCAGTCTCTGCATCTGCACACGCCCTTAGCATCCAAGCACCCGAAGAGACACTCCCTCTACCTGCCGCAGCCCTGCAGGGTCCACTCCCGCCGGCCCCACCCAGTGTCCCATACAGGAGAGCGCTTTAGATGAGATGAACACCACAGGCCCCTGTAGTTTATGAAGCTTCAGAACCAGCTTTTTGCCAGAAGGGAGGAGACAGGCTCATCAAAGTTCTAGTTTGTCCGTGAGGCATCTCTGAGTCACTGAAGGTCGCATGACAACACCATGTGATTCTTCCAAAATATGATCCTTTCAGAAAAACAGTTCATGGATCTAAGGGACCTGGAGTGGCGGTATTATAAGGGGCTTGTGAAGTGGAAGGACACGACCGTGGTTCCTCTCTTGGACATAAACTACGACACCGAGAAGAGATTTGTAGAGAGCCAGGACATGCCCGATGTTATTTCCCCCCCTATAGTTCATAAGTCTTTGGTCATTTATCCTCAAATTGATTACCAAAAAGAAGGAACTTATTCTCTGCAATGGAATATGTAGTTTATTAAAAATACGTAATTTTTTTAAAGTACGTAGACTTTTGCATTTGAGAGCATAGAATGTATACATAAAAAGTAAAGAAGCAAAAGCATCCAATAGAACATCTGAACTGAGTTTATATAACACGTGTGAGGTCCAAAGTTAAACCACTGGTGTGGAGTAAAAGATCCGCGTGGATCCGCTCATGTAAGACCTGGCCTGGACCTGCGACACTCGCTTGGACCAGGGCTGATGCAAATATGATCATATGAAAAGAAAGGGTACAAGGGAGAAATTTCCAAGCAAGAATAGCCCTTTCAAAAGTGTTAAGCACATGAGGAACTCCATCATCATAAAAATAGTTGGCAAATTCAACAAATGGAAGAATTAACACCTGAGGATATAGAGCAATCTAAGAACTTTAAAAATGTGTTAACTGCTCAAAGACATAAGGAAGGAACTAACATCCATGAAACAAGAGGAAGATTTGAAAAGGAACAAATTAGAAATCTTGGAAGTTAAAAATACAGTCGCTGAAAATAATAATAACCTTCAATAAATTATTCCAATGGTACACTGGATACATCTGAAGGGAAGGACTGATGAGCTGGAAGATGGCACTGAAAAGCCCCTAGATGATCGCGCAGTAAGGTGGAGAGGAAGCTACGAAAGGAGTTAGGAGTGATGGAGAGTAGGATGAAAAGTTCAGAAATAAATCCAATGGAAATTGCAGAAGAAAACAGGAAGAATGGAAAAGAGGTAATGTTTGAAAATGAAATGATAATTTTTCCAGAATAAAGAAATACATGGGACCTTGAATTGAAAAATCTCATTAAGTGATGAGCAAATTAAAAAACAAACCTATACCTAGAAACACTATAGCAAAACTGCAGAGCATTAGCAGTAAAACAAAACACAATCTACCAGAGAGAGAGATGAACTACGTACAAAGGACAATTCACAACAGGTGTCAGAAGGCAGTGGTGTCGCCTACTCAAGACACTGAAAGAAAGCAACCATCAATCTGGAATTCTCCAACCAGCTAAACTCTCTTTAAAGAGTAGGGGTAAAATAAACACATTTAAAAATCTATAAGAGCCAAGAATTGTTTACTATCCACAATCCCTTACTGAAAAAAGAATTACTAGTAAAATATACTTTAGCAAGAACCCAGAGGGAATGCAAGAAATAATAGTGAACAATTAAATTATTAATATTATATGTGTGTATGATTGTGTAGATATTAAAATGTATTTCTGGGTTCTATTTTTTAATATTTTATTTAGAAAATTTGCTTCCATGTAAGTGAAATTATTCATAGTTTCCATGTTTTGTGCTATTTTTTAATACCACATTTTGGTATTAAAGGTTATTCTGGCTTCAGCTGAAGATACTGTCTCAAAATGGGCATGAGGGAGGTTTCTGGGATGCTCACAAAGTTCTGGTTTCTTATCTGTGTGCACAGGTGTGTCCAATATGCAAAAATTCTTCAAGCTATATACTTACAACTGTAAATTTTCTTCATGAATGTTAGACTTAGTTTTTAAAGATCTTTAAGTTATTCTAGCTCATAAAATGCATTGGGAAGTTTTTCATTTTTTTAATGAGTCCACAGATATTTAAATAATATTAGAAACATTCATTCTTTAAAGTTTAGCTAAAATTCAGCTATAAAACCATTCAATCCTGATATTTTTTCTTTCCATTATTGTATTAGTCTGTTTCCATTGCTTATAACAAAGTACCTGAAACTGGGTGATTTATAAAGAAAAATGACATTTATTGTTTACAGTTTCTGAGGCTGGGAAGTCCAAAGTCCATCTGGTGGTGGTGACAGTGACCCAGGGGTCTAATATTGCAAGACAGTGGAAGCAGAGAGAGCAGAAAGAGAGACAGAGACTCTCCTCTTCTTTTAAAACCCTCAGAACCACGCCCCTGACCACCGTTTTTAATCCATTCACTATGGGATGGTCCTACAATCTAATCACCTCTTCAAGGCCCCACCTTTCAATGACCATAATAGGATTTCCCAGTCACAGTGGGGGCTAAGTTATTAATACATGAAACTTGGGGGACACAATTCAAGCTTCAGTGAGTTTGGGGGGGATGATTCAATCCACTACAATTATTATTTTTAAAATGTTTAAACATTCAAAAAAATAAAGTTGTGTAATAAACATGCATATACCCATCATCTGGATTTAACAGTTATTAAGATTTTACCACATTTGTTTCATCTATTTCTTTTGTTGTGTTTGCTGTATCTGCTGAAGTATTTTAAAGCAAATCTTAAGCCTCCCATCTAAGATGTTACCCTTACGTCCTTTGGTGTGCATCTCAGAAAAACACAGACATTTTCTTTTATAACCACATACCTTATTTACCAAGAGAAATTAATACTAGCTCCTTGATACCGTCTTTCTGTCCATATTCAAAGTCCCCTTGTTGTCTTAAAACTGCCTTTTTCTAGTTGGTTGGTTTGAAGCAGGATCCAAAAAAGGTCTAAAGATTGCATTTGGTCGTTAGGTCTCTTAAGGTTCTTTTAATCTAAAGCAATTCCTCGTTTTTTCCATGCAATTGATTTACTGAAGAAATAAGTCCATTGTCCTGCAGAAGGCCCCGCCTTCCAGAGTTGCATCCTCATGGTGTCATTCAACTAGTTCTTGTATTACAAGGGTTTATTTGGAAATAAATCAGATGTTTGCTAAAAGCTTGATTAGATTCAGACTCGCTTTTTTTGGAAAGAATACTTCAGTCGATGAAGCTGTGTACTTCAGATTGCTCCACAACAGAAGGCATGTAATTTCTGGTTGTCCCTTTTCTAGTGATTTTAAGATTGAGTAGTGGATTCGGGAGGTGACCGCCTGATGCCTCTCTGTTTCATAAAGTTCCCCACCAACTTCTCATACACTGGCTTCCGTCCATTGATGATTATGGCGGGCAGTGTCTCAGAGGCTCCCAGTGATCCCTGACTCCTGGTGTTTACGCCCATGCATAATACCTTCCCTTGAGTCTAGGCTGGAATCATGACTTCTAAGAATAGAATGAAGCAGAGGTGATGGAAGGTGATGTGACCACTTCAAGATTAAGGTACAAAAACCTGTAGATTCTACCTTGGAGTGCTGTCTTGCTCCCTTGCTCACGTGCTAGCTCTTAGGGAAGCCAGCTGCCATTTGTGAGATGCCCTACGGAGAGGCCCATGTGGCCAGTAACTGTTGTCTCTGGTCAACAGCCAGCAAGGACCTGAGCTCTGCCAACAGCCATATGAGTTAGCTTGGAAGCAGATCCCCCCCAGTCCAGCTGTGAGATGCCTGCAGTCCCAGATGACACCTTGACTGTAGCCTTGAGACATGCTGGGCCAGGGCACCCAGGTTCCTGACCCACAGAAACCATGAGATGGTAAATGTTGTTTTAAGCTGTTATGTTTTGAGCTAATCCGTTACGCAGCAACAGGTAACTAATTCCATAATCTTTGCCTGGATTATTCCATTAGGGCTTACTCACTGGTGATTTTCTAATTCTGTCACTAATTCCACATTTATTAGTTAAATCCGTTACGCAGCAACAGGTAACTAATTCCATAATCTTTGCCTGGATTATTCCATTAGGGTTTACTCACTGGTGATTTTCTAATTCTGTCACTAATTCCACATTTATTAGTTGGAAATCATTTGTAAAGAAAAGCTTTTCCTCATCAGCTAGGGCTATTTAATTACACTGAAGCACAGTTTACAAAAAAGGCAGGTTAGTGGCTTAAATTCCCCATTAGTTGCCAATTTTCAGATTAAGGAGGTGATGTTCCAGTTACTGCCAAACGTAGCCAAGGAAGCGTTTCTCTCTTCTCTCTTCTTAAACAGCATTGTGAGTTCACGAGTGTTTGTTCTGTTTTTTAATAACCTGTTTTGTTCAAGTATAATGTCACATAGAAAATCACAAGCTTGAATTATAACAAACTGAACACACCCATGGAATCACCGCCCAGGTCATGAAACAGGACATTGCCCAAGCCCCTCCCTTGCCCTCTCCTGATCACGGTCCAGCCCTCCCCGGCCAAGTTAGCCAATATTTACCAAGACGGCTTTGCCTGTTTTTGTACTATCTTATACACATGTAATCACACAGTACACATTCTTCTGTAGTGGGCTTCTTTCGACATTATGTTTGTGACATTTATCCATGTTTTGTATACAGCAGTGGCTGTCTTTACTGCTATTAGTAGAATTAATATTAGTGCCAGTAGTAGTTGTACTGAGAAATTTCCTCCTGGTTTTTGGCTTCTATAATACTTGGGGCCAAATTTCACAATGACATATAGCAATGGTGCAAGACCAGCTTTGCCTCCTTCTGGGTTACCATGTTCCTGGATTTATTTTAACCAATATTTTCCCCAGTTCCCTGAACTATTACCTCTTTTTATTTTTGTGTTGTATGATTTAGAATTGTACTTGTGTAAGTAGGAGAATGCCTGAGAGAAATTGGTAAAGGGCCACAAAAAATTGTTACATTGTGTCATGTTGAATATAGTAATTACCCTGACTTGAGTATCACATACTGCACACAGGTATTGATATTCAACACTGTACCCCACAGATATGTACAATCAATTATGTTTCAATTTTTAAAAAATTTTTAAACAAGGAGAATGGCTGGATGCCAGCACCTGAAACACATAAAGATCAGTTTGTTGCATACGACAAGATGTGCGGAGGTCAGCAGGAGTGGGTGGTACAGTCCACGATGCCAGCAGTCCCCCAGGCTCCTCTCTTTCCCTGATCTCATTCTTTGTTTGTGGTTTTCATTCTCACGATTTCAAGGTGGCTGCTATACCCCCGGACATTGCATCAGTGTTCCAGGCAAGAAGAATGGGAAAGCACAAACAGCCATCTAGAAGTTTCCTTTTTTATCCTAGAAGAGAAGCTCTTCCATTCAGCATTGTAGATACATATTATTAACCAGAAGCATGTAATGTGACTGCTCCTAGCTGTAAGGGACTCTGTGCAGGTTGCTTTAACTGGGTACAA